CAAATCGGTGGGATCTTGATCAATTCAAAGTGCGATAACTCCCACAGACCTTCCAGTTCTAGTCCATTCGGAAATCGGCGGCGCCGTAAAAATACTGACGCTGCATAATTCATGTGAAACGATATGCGAGCATTTGTAAGGTGCAGGAATGCCTTGACAAGAGGTTATTATTTTGACTGTATCAACGACGAAACGAACGACCTATCAAAGCACAGTCTGCTATCAAACTTGTACATTCCTCCAATATTCTTGATCTCTGTTTTGCAATTTCGATTACCCTTCACTGCCATACGTTAGAACTGTCCCCCGCCGATTTTTGTTTCCAATGCAACTTATCCATTTTGAAAACTATCCTCATAAATGTTTGTTATGTCGATAAATGAACCCCGCGATAGATTTTAAAGCTTAGTTGTTAATAAATAATTTATTTTTTAACCTAATCGTTTATTGCTTCACTTTTATAGCCTTTCATAGCTCCAGTTTTCACCTCAGTAAATGCCTTTAAAAATGTTGCAAACGCTCCTAGTTTGAAATTTATCACAGCTGCGATCGGTTCGTGGAAGCTGCCACATAACGAATCAGTCATACTGTTCTCATGAAAACATACAGAAATCATCATTCCGAAAATAGCCGTATTCGCGGCACTAGTGCAAGTTTTGAAACATCTGTCATCTAGAAGGGACATGAAGCTCGTTTGGAAAACTTCAAAAAACAATGTGTACAGTATCCTCAAAATTAAATTGTACACTGAGTCACGAACGAACAAGTGCTGACGACCACCGGTTTGAGAAAACTATCGAATGAATTCAACTTGGTTTTATAAAACGGTCGTAACAGAAATGAGCACCTTTTCAAAACTTTTTTCACGTGGGAACCGCCACTGACCGTCGACGCACTGGAGGGCAATGCAAAACATGGAAACACCTTACTGAGGCAGAACCACTGGCAGAAATATGATCTTTGCTGCAACAGTGAAGGATACCTAATTTCAATCTGAGATACCATTTCTAAAAGTCAGATAAAACAAATCAAGGCTGATATGCGGTTAAATTAAGATGATAACGACAGAAGAATAAGATTATTTCTCATGCTATGTCGTAATGTTAACTTGTCTACACAACATGTACATGCTTTCGCACGCAAGGGTCGCAAACGCATGATTCGAAAATTGGTAATCTCTCGTCCCTTGTGAAAATTTATAATCAAAGTCAAAATTTGCGACACCTGCTTTTCCGTAAAGATTTTCATCCGGCGCGCTTCATCAATCGATGGTGCGAATAAGTCCATCATACCTTCGTCGTCTCCGATCAATGAAGTCATCTCGCGATCGGTTGCGGCTCCAAGCGCTCTGAGCATGACTGCTACCGGAATGTCCTGAAACATGTACATCAGTAGAAAATAAGCATTTTAATCCAGATATACGTCATTCAGTTTTCCGTGTCTCACAAAATACTTTCTTTTCTTCATTATCACATATGACTTGCTTCGTCTTTCGTGTGTAGAACTGAAATTGACGTCAAGCACTTAAGTGTTCGAAACAAAGATTTTAAACGTCACGAGATGAACGCTACCTTAGCACTTCAGCTAGAAGTTCATCCTTATTTTCCGAAATGAGGATTCGATTTTTCGAGAGCTGCTCCTGAATTAAGATGACCCGTTCAGTGCCCCGGGTTATAAAATATCCACCAGGGTCGTAGGGACATTCATTTAATTTTGCAAGTTCATCCAAGGACTTGCCTGTAAGAACACAATTGCTTGAGCGAAGCATAACTGGCATTCTAAACGAAAATAAACGCGTTAAATATACTAAGAAGTTACACGTCGAACAAATATGTAGGCTGTTATGTTAATGGCTTAAGATCAGACATGGTTAGAAGCCTCGAATAAAACTTTTATTAACTAAAGTTTAATTCCAGGCTTCTAAACGTGTCTTACCTTAACCTGTTAAATTAAAAGGATATAAACTTCGTCTTTTCTACTGAATAAATATACAGGTAAATGTTTCAGAAAAACAGATTAAGCACACAAGGTGCATAAATACATTAAAAGACTGAGAGAAGAGAGAAGAGAAAGAGAGAAAGCATTGTCCGAAGAACACCGCTGTTGTGTGACTGAAATGTTGACCATTATGCAATAAAACCTTGTTTAACATCAACCATCAGCCTTATCTTGTGCTCAACACCATCGCATTGTACATTTAAAGAATTTACATCCAAAGATTAAAAGAACAGGCTTGCAACCACGAACGATTGTTTGAAAAAACATTATATGGGCTAGATACGTCAGAAATAATGACTCCTATAGGTTACTAAGCTGTGAGCAGCTATCTGAATCATAAAGTTCAAGAAAAGGAATATGCAACAACGCGTACGTGAGATAATGACGATAAGCTACAGAATTTGCTGTGGAGGTTATGGACAAGATAAGATACGATACGGGAGCCAAGCAGATCCAACTCCCACAGGGAGATCAATCAGCAGCGGGGCGATCAGATCTGAGAGTCAACCGTTACGATGGTAAGAGAAAACGTTCCGAATGAAAAATGCCAATCGAACTACACAAAAGTCTAAATATGAAACAAAGAATACGGCCTAACTATCCTAACTTGAGTTCAAATCTCATCTAAACAAAGGCAGCTTTCAAGTTAATGTTAAATACACGGTGTACTGCATACCGTCCTCTCTGAAATTACCTAATGTCCCAATATTCTGCATTTTAACTCTTATTTTCTGCGTTTTTATACAGAATATACAGGACGCATTGCATCATCATCATCATCATCATCTTCCATCGCCGCTTCTCCTTTCGGGTCGCGGAGGCAGACGCGTCA